TCCCACCACCAGTAAGATGTGGGTTCTAGGGCCAGGGATTTAGCTCAGTGGTGCTGCTGCCTGCTTCGCAAGCACAAGGGCCCACGTTCAATGCCCAGTACCAAAAAAAGGGGTGGGGTTAATTTCCCTATATCCTTGCCAACATTTTCTTTCTACTTTTTTGTTATTTTCTTTTTTAAAAAAAATAATTGCTATCCTAATGAATATGAAATGATAATTAATTAAGTGAGCTTTTAAGTGAGCTCTTTACCCTTAGGTCGGAGCCATTGTATCACTTCCTGGTTTGTGTATGGTCAGTGTTGGTGTCACCCCTCACAGGAGGAATTTGCACCTATTGACAAGGAAGCACTCTGATGCAGTCGATTCCTTTGTCTGAGCAGCACTGCACCATACTCTACTTTGGTGGACCTCTATGCATGAATTGGGAACTCTCTAGAATACAGTGTCCAGAATTGAGATCCCTGGAGCATTCATCAGCATGGTGATGACTTAAAACAGAGAAACAACCCTCTGGCCCCCCATGGGTGTCTAATTGGCCCAAGACCCTCTGTAGACAAGTTAATTGTCACCATGGAGAGAGCAGTGTCAGAGGGAGTGTTGCATTTATGTTGGGTTTTGCTTTCAGCATATCCTTTGAGTTGTGTTTCATTCTCTTCAAACAGGCATGACTTGAGAACCATTGTTAATATCAACATGACAGTGTCATAACACACTTCTGCTTTTTATTTGAACTTTTTTAAAATTCCTGAGCCAAAATTAGGTGATTGTTACTTGTTCTGTTTCTAACAGATGGAGAAAATTCCCCTTAATTTCCATTCAGCTTATGTATTTCCATAAGCAAGATTAGCATGTGATAGGGATCACGACTGTTTTCAGATTTAAAGCCTAGTCAGTTTAAGAATCATTATTTTACTATGCTTTGTGGTCTCTCCTACTTTTTTTTCCCATTGCTTTATGTACTCAGCGTGGTTTGTGCCTTTCATGTGCTATGCATCCCTGTTCGGAAGCATAAGCATATCAAATAGAGGATTAGAGGAAAGTGATTTTGTGTTTAGTAAGTAATGGAATGAATTACTTTGTGTCTTTAAGCTACAGGATAGCTTCCTATTTTAAAACCTCTCATTTGGCTATGCAAACACAGGTGACCTATGGTCTTTGAAAACAAGTCTTCATCTTAGTGAGGTGCTGCACAGCCTATGCTTCCTAACAGATGTTATAAGGGCCAAGAGTATGGCCTCAGAGAGACCTTGGAGCAGGAAGAATCTGCCATGGTTTGTGTCTCCACTATCATTGAGCCAGGTAGCAGCCGTCTTTAATTTGCCTTCCTGCTTGCTAAGGTCAGGCAGATATTTATTGAAGGTGTACCATGTGACAGATACCACCTTGATTCCCCCCTCCCCAACTCTCTGCTCCATGTAGCATGATAATGTGGATTCCTTTAAAATTGAAAATACAAAGGATGAGAATAATAGCTCCCAGTGTTAAGCCAGAGGAAAACCCAAGGTGGTCATCCCCATATAAGCCAAATACATTCTCTTATTTTATTGAGCCAGTTTTCTTTTTTTTTTTTCACCAACTACTCTAGATGTTTTAAATGCTGCTCAGATGTTTTAACTATATTGTCTTACAAACTATGCATTACCAAATTTAGATCATAACTTGAAACCAAAGGTTGAGGCCAGCCATTAGTGGTTTTGGATCTCTGACCATTGCTTAGTTTTATGGGACAATCTTTCTTAGGCAAATGCTATATCCAGCCAGAGTCAGCCCAACCCCAAGGTCCTTTTCCTCCTTTCCTCTCTGAAAATGAGGATTAGAGGAGGCAACTTCTCTCCTAAATTTCTAAGGCACAGGCAGATTCCGTTTTTTTTTTCCTTTGGACATAATTCATTTATAAATCATGAATTTTCTGACCAGTTTAAAGGGTCTTTATCCAACTCAACCCTGTGAAGACTCTGCAAGCACATGACTCTTAGTCTGCCTCCTTTTCAATGAATCCGTTCACTGAAAGGCAAAGTTTCCCTGTGAGGATGGAGGGGCGGGGGCTGCTAAGTCAGACTGGAAGGAAGTAATCTGCTGTTAGGTGGAGATGTTGCTGCCCCTGCAAATTATGCCAGGCAATGAAGGCTGGGTTCATTTCCAAGATAGAATTTGAAGTAAGAAAATGCTTTGGGGTGTAAATAGAAACACTTCCAGCTAAAGGCATGTTATTGCATTAATGTGTAAATGCATATAGAAATGACATATACAAAACCAAATTGTCATTCCGAAGGAATTTGATAAATATGGGTTTTCTTAAAAGTATTCATCTCAGTGTAGAGATGGTTTTTTAAAAAGAGAAAGACCTGAATGTTTGAATGATTGAGTAGGAAACCAGAATGCTATTTTTTCTTCAAAACGGTGTCTCCATAATAAACTATGATGAGGGAATAACGCCGCCGTAACCTCTTTCCTTTAGTAATTGATCTTCTCATTCCAATGAGTGAGAGATGACTTTGTGTCTGGGGAAGTGCACAGATCAGATTAATTTGTGCCTTCACAGCACTGCTTTGTTATCTGTCCTTGGAGAATTTTTCAATCAAGATGTGTTTGGCAGAAACAAAGTAGAAAGGGTGCTCCTCTAGGCAGCACTGCCTGACACCAGGGGGCTCCTGTCTCTGCTTTCCACTCACCTGCCTGGCTGTCAGGTGTGCTGGGCTTGGCAGATAGTCCCTGGCAGCCCTGGAGGTTCCTTCACCCAGAACAGCTTCACTTCTAAAGGGAAGCTCACTGTAAAAATTTTTCATTTATTAACTTTTCTGTGCATGGCTCCTACTTATTCATTTAGCTTTTGGCTTATTCAATAACAAGGATGCATTTCTTTTTAAAAGAAAGTGTACTTTTTACAGTGGCATTGTATTACAGCTACTTTAAAAAATAACTGTTGATAAAGAAAATCATCATCCCTGATTTCTTCCAAGATATGACAGACTCATATCTTCATCCTTTGGGTTTATATACATTTGTGTGTACGTATATAAATATTTTGTTATGTACCCTTTTTCTATCACCCATATGAAAAATCTTGGCATCAGCTCTAATATTCTCTCTGTCCCTGAAATCCTGTCATTGGATGTGACACAGTGATAGGAAAAGAGGCTGTGGAGTTGAGCAAACCTTATGAATCCTGGCTGGACCACAGAGTGGGTGGATGACCTCAGACAAGACTTTCCTCTCTCTGTTGGTCTATCCATCTGTCCCTTTGTTGCCCATGCCTCCCTTTCTGTCTCTTATTTGGAAAGTGTATGCTTACAGTATGCTAGACCCTGGGAGTCTATCCAGTGTTTTCTTATCAAAAATGTGATTATTAAAGCATATTAAAGTGTTCTTGTGAGGATTCAATTTGATAATGCATATGAAGGGACTTAACAGGATGCCCAGCATACAGTAGGATGCTCTCTAAATGGTATTGTGTGGTCAGTCAGCAAGTCTCATCAGTTCTGCAATTTCTCTGGCATCATTTCCTGTTTTTTAGCAGCCTGAATAATGATGGGAAGTTATTTTCATACCTAGACTATATAAGAGGTCACCTCTTTGCACTTCTGAATCATTGCTTTGTGTGTTACTCTTTGTTCTAAACCTTTCAGTAGCTTCCATTGTTTATTAGAGATACTCTGAATTCTTCATGGCCACTCAAGGCACACTGAGCAGTCTTTCAGTACTTAACTCAGTACTTACTCTCCTCTTGGGATTTCAGCTCTCAGCAAACCTGCTGTCCTTTCCCACCCACTGACATGACTCATTCTCTTGAATCTCCATCTATCAACGCATGTGCAAGGAGTCACATTATAATGGATGAGAAAGGAAAATAGTGCGTGAGCCAAGTGAGAAGTCCTAGTCGTCTTTGTGCAGTGTCCTAGTCCCTTTTTGCTGCTGTAACAGAATACCCAAGTCTGGGTAATGTCATTAATCCCACCCACAATGGTTAAAACGTCTTGGTCTAACAGCCTCCCCACAGTTCTGCCTCCAAGCACCACTACAATGGCAGCCAAATTTCAAGATGGAAGGAACAGACATTCTAAAACAGAGTGTGTAGTAAAGACTTAGAATTTTTCAAATACTTCTGACAATATATTATTTGTAGACATGTTTGTTACTCAACAAACAGAAATAGTATGGTAGAAGTTGCCCTTAAAAAAACACCAGGTCATTTATTTATGTATCCTCCATATTATGCCATCTGAGAAAAACCTTTAGGGATTATGTGCTCATTTCTCTTAACCATTAAATTATTGATTCATCTTCAGGATTAGTTACTAAAGCCATGTTGACTTGGAAAATACTTGCTTTGTAGTAGATTTTGCTCTCTTTGTAGGGATTCTCCTAAATGGTAACAGCATCTGTACCAAACAGGCAAATACTAGATTAGAAGTATTAGGTTGCACCCCAACTGTTTTTCATTTCAACAGATTGCTGTCCATAGGTTAGGCTGTTATCATAATGAGTTTCTTACATCCAGAATTCTGCTGATGAAGCCCAGCAGCCCAGTTGGGCATAGTCATTTTTTTTTCATTTTTTAAATTTATAATAAGTTGTTCTCTTTGTATTTAATTTGGATTTTACCCACAGGATATGTAATGTTTACAAATAGCTGTGTGTGTGTGTGTGTGTGTGTTTGACAGAAGACAGTGAAAAATACTGTACTTTAAATTTTTGATTCCTTTTTAGATTTTAAGAAGCTATCTTTAAATCTCTGGCTCCCCTCTCCCTCAGTTTAAGACAGTAGGAGCCATAATTTTTGTTTCTTTAGCTCCCATGAGCACTGGTAGCTTGTGATCATTGTTTATGAATCAATCAATACAAAATGTTGCTGATTTTTTAAAATGAAATATTTTCTGATGAATGTTTATAAGATTCTATCTATGTTAAAGTTAAAATGACTCCTAACAATAAGTAGCCCTGTTGGGCTCATATCTTAAATCCAGAGCATTCTAATTTTTATTTCCTTTTCTCTCCCCCAGTTTGCTGTTTTGTGGTTCACAAGAGGTGCCATGAATTTGTTACTTTTTCTTGCCCGGGTGCAGATAAGGGACCTGACACTGATGTAAGTAGTCTGTAAAACATTTGATATTAATGTGAAATTCTGATCTTTGTTATTCTTTCAATGCCTGTACATTTGTTGTTTTGGCACATACTACTAATGAAGAGACTTCTCAATTAGTCTCATGTAACTTTGGCTTGTACTAATGAGCAGATTTATGGTTCTTTTGAGCCCTGGACCATTTCTCAGACAAATTCTCTGAGGAGAATTATTACCTTGTGCTTTTCCACTCTGAGCAGCCACATTGAGTAAATCCACCAAATTTATAGCAGTAGCTACGTTGACAAATTTTACAATGAACACAAATCATCTTTCAGTTTGTTTCTCAAAGTTTATGCACTAATAGGGCCATCATTGGCTTTGCCAACATAGCAAGTTCCTCCTAGTTTGCTTCATGAGATTTGTGTCTGCCTTTTTGTTATGCATTATAATTGCTGCTACTGTTTGACCTACACCTGTTTCTCTGAAGCAACCCAATTAGTTAATATATTTGCATCCTAATTTTGCCTGTTTCTGGGTGTCTCTGTTGTTCTGTTCTTGCCCTTCAGAAAGGGAGAGTGAGGAAATGGGAAATACCAATGTCTAAAATATACTGGATAGAAGGAAACTTGAGTGTAACATGAAAAATGATGTTTTAACTGAAAAATTTGGAAGATAGGTCCAGACTAGTTGGTATTGAATCACTTTTGTCAGAACAGCTTACTTATTTACATTATTAGATCATTGTATTCAGAGGATTGCTTCCTTGTTTAGCACTTGTTCTGTTCTGTTCACAGAAGCTTGATTTTGAAGTGACTTTCTCATTACAGGCAGGGCAAAAGTCTTCCCTTCTCACACAATGATGTTTTCACAGTAGGCTTTAAAGGATTCAGATTTGTGTTGTTCTGACGTGTATGGGAACGTACCAGTTTTGCTGAGGTGCCTTGAGTGGCTGTATTAAGTGTGTTCCTTGGGCTCTGTGTCATAACAAAGGACTTTATTTAACAACTTTGTGGAGGAGGAAGTCAGAGTTCATGAATGCTAAGCGGCTTTATTTTCCCCCTTCATTTCATATATTTTCCTTTTTTCTGGGATAATATCTCCACATGGAACATTTTAGAGATAAAAAATAGAAGATAGCATACCAAATTTTCTAAAAAGCTCTCTTACTGCTTTGTTTTTAAAAATACTCAAAAGCATCATGTAATGATCCTTTTACTTCTTTGTTCATCATCCCCATCTTCATCCTCCTATTTTATCTTTTATCATTTCACTTTTATATCTTGTCATTTAGCCTCATCAACAATGGGTAGGAAAGGCAGGCAGGCTGCAGGATCATGGATACTTTCTGTCTCACCTCTTCCTCTTCCTACTTTTCCTTCTTTTGGTTACATATACTTTCTTAAGAATCTAAGTATCTCTGTCCTGGGCCCTGAGTTACAGGAGTTGACACAGAGGTGTGTCTCCTGCCCTTGGACATTCTGCTGGGGGCAGGTAAACACTAAAGAATCACTAATGGAGATAACATACAAGTGCGCTTATATAAGGTACCTTCTCTAGGTGGCCAGGGAGAGCTTCTCCAAGAAAATGGCATTTAAACTGAGCTTTAAGGATGAATAAGAACTAGACAAAAGGGAATTTGTATATGTTTGTGCTGGAGTGTGAGAAGCCGTGGAAAGACCTATTTTAGACAAAAGTATAAAAAAATGAAAAAAGCCAAAATGTGGGATGGAACTCCATCTATGACAAACGGAGGAAGCTTGGTATCTGGTGCATTATTAAGGTTTGGGGATACAGTCTTAGAAGCATTGGGGGCTCAGGAGTGATATAATTCCATGTGTGCATCTTATAAAGGTTATTCTGGTCTCCTAATAGGAAATGGATTGAGCAGTAGAGATGGAGAAGTACGAAAGGCTGAAGAAGAAGAAGAAGAGCCTACTCTGCAGGCAAGGGAAGGGAGCTTGGAGGAGGTAGAGCAAATGGGGGGAGAGAGAGAGAGAAAGAGAGAGAGAAAGAGAGAGAGCGCACATTCAAGATACACTTAGGAGTCATAGCAGCAGTTCTTGGTTAATATGGGATCAGGAATATGGAAATGTTGAAAATGATTTCATAGTTTCTGGCCTAGATACATAGATGGGTGGGGGATGCTTTAAGGCCTTTGAGACTATGGGGAGAGAGAGAGAGAGCATATGTTTGGGAGAGTGGGATGCTTTCACTTTGGGCATGTTCACCTTGAGAAACCTCACACTAAGAAGATAGTTATATGTGGGGCTGAGGGTGGAGGTCATGAGTGGGGTGTGTCCTGAAGTAGAGATCCCTGTGTTTTTTTAAAAGCCTAGAATGTACATCTCTTTGCCTGAGAGAGTATATAAAGTAAGGAGGAAAGGAATTAGGTCCAGGGAGAAAGAGATCTCAAAGGAAATCAAGCACTTAGATGGGAGAGGAGGTCCAGGGAAGGAGACTGAGAAGGAGCAACCAGAGAGCCAGAGGAATACCAGGAGGGTATGAGTATAATTTATCCATTTCCTTAAAGGAACTGTGATGGTGTCTATGTATTTGTTATGGATTCTCTGTGAGCCTTTGATATGGTTTATAAATTAGTAACATATAGTTTGCCTGGAACAGTATAGTTTGCAGGGGAAAGTCTTGGGTTTAGATCATAGGTCATATGCCTGTTAACTTTTAGCAGCTCCTTTTATACTCAGTTTTTGTTTTTTGTTTTTTGTTTTTTCCTTTTTGGATTTCCTTATGGTCACCCTACTCAAAGAGCCAGAGCCATGCAAAAAATATAGAGCACACCTATGGTCTAATTCTGTTCAGCACACATTACTGTTTGTGTCTGCTTGCTGTAGGCATGGAGCCTCCATTAATATCCTTGGAAATGAAGATAAGAATGATTTTTAAGTAGGACAGAAAAAAAAAAGCACATGACCTATAAGGCACAAAGAATCTGTTGATTCTTACTGATTCACAAAAGAATATTTGTGGTTTTCCACGGATAAATTTTGCCTTTTTAAAATTTGATATTTGGAGGTGTACGAATAGGGCTTTCTGACACCAGGACATGAGAAGTGTCTGTGTGAAGGATGGTCTTATTATTGTGCACATCTGTACATAAGACTTAGGAATTCACAAAATGGCCATATGAACCACACCTGGGAGGTATTTGAAAAACATTGAAATGTAGAACTCACTTGAGATGGTAGATTTCCTTGTTGTATTCTTTTCTGAGTGTTAAAATTACAGTATAGAGGTAGAAAGGATATTAAAGACTGATATAGGTTGGCCCTATTTGGTAAATAGGGCAAAGGGATGTCATCTTGCTCTGGGTGCCATCTTGTCTCTTGCATCTCTAACTGGTTTGTGGTTGACTCTTTCAAGGAGTTGCTCATGAAGGGAAAGAGGTCAGTGAGTGGTTGGGTTTCGCTGTGGGTAGAGCACATTGATAACTCAGATCTGATACACTCATTGAAAGTTCTATTCAAATCCTTAGAAGAGTACTAGAGGGCATGAGAAAAACCAGTTAACAGAATGAATGGTCAACAAAACCGAAGGGGATTTTTTTTCCCCCTTAGAAAATTAAGAGTTTCAGTTGAGAATATTTTTATACTATGGAGAGTGATTAAGATGTGCTGTCTGTGTGCTGCTGAATATTACCTGTATTGAGCTCACAAACCCCGGAGCACTCACTTATGGGGAAAAAGTAGTTACAAGGAGTTTGTGAAATGCGCAAGTATTGTACCTGCCCTGCTGCCTTCAAGATGAAAAGTATTGGAAAGTAAACCCTCAGTACCCAGATGACAGCAACCAGATGGGGAGCATTCCAAGTTCTTTTGAACAGAGATGCTCCTCAGGGCTCAAGTTGCAGGCATAGTTGAAAATCTGCTTTAGTTAAGAGGATCTTGAAGAAGAAAGAACTCTGGGCTCAGCAGAGCAACCCCTTCAAGATTCTCAGGCCAATTTCTTAGCCCTTCTTCGCCCCACTCTGGATAAGCAGTTTTCTATGCCTTCCCAGAACAGCTGGAGAAAAGAGGCAAGCATTTCCTAGACTCTTAAGTGCAATCCCCTGCACACTGAACAAAGAAAGGCAGGGGAAAGCTGTTAGAGCATTTGCATTAGAGGTAAACTCAGTCACTGATGCTGCTGAGCCAGGACTCTCCAGCTCTTCAGAGCACTGATGCTGGAGCATGTGGCTCCCAGAACGAGTAATGCTCTTCCTACTTGGTGTCGGCAAGGGCCTGTGAGTCCTGGGCAGAACATAAGTTTCCAGGTGTGCAGCCTAACAGTGCGACCTGGGGCTCTGCCTACTACTCTGCCTTCAACTTTCTGTAAGACAACAACACAATAAAATTCAAAAAAATCAGCCCATGTTTTACAAATAGCCTTTTCCTCTTCTTTACCAAGTTAAGATGTGGACTGGGACATGAACAGCTACACAGGGATTAGACCTTTTTCTGCTTTGGGTGTTGGGAGTAGTATGTGACTTTGCTCTGCGGGAGAAGCACAAGTGCTGTTACCCCTTCAGCTGCCATTGACTGAAGGCCCTGAATAGGTTCTGTTCCCTGTGCTGGCCACAACGGGGTAGATGGGAGGAGTCTGTGGTGGCTTCTGCAGGGTCAGCTCTTCCCCAGACTTCTACTTTACATGTCTTAAAATTTCATATTACCAGCTCTCTGTTGCTTAGTCTGGAACACCTCCACGTTCTTAGAATAGTCTGTCCTCATCTTAAATTATGTCGCTACAAGGCCTACCCTGCAGAGGGAAAACAGGGTATTTGGGCCTTCTAGTACATATCATATGTACATGTGTGTGTATATTTATTAGCACACTCAACACTCTTCTGTTTTCTTGTGTGTCTTAAGTGAGAAAAAAGCTGTGACTCAGCCCTTTCTGAGAATTATACCAATCTCAGACCAACTCTTAATGCTATCATATACAATCTCCATTAAACTTTTTAATCTGTAATGTTGTACATTCTTATGTGCTGTGTATAAAGTAACACAACTGCTAAACTATTTGTCAAA